TGAATATGTGACTTAATAGATAGATAGATGACTTAATAGATAGATAGACGACTTAATAGATGGATATGTGACTTAATAGATAGATAGATGACTTAATAGATAGATAGATGGACAGGGTTTGTAGGTAGAGAGAGAGGCAGGTGGATAGATTAATCAGTGGATAGATAGATAGATGGAGGGATTGATAGTCAGGGAGATAGATAGATAGATAGGTAAATAGAGAGATAGATAGGTAAATAGATAGATAGATAGGTAAATAGATAGATAGATAGGTAAATAGATAGATAGATAGATAGATAGGTAAATAGATAGATAGATAGTTAAATAGATAGATAGATAGATAGATAGATAGATAGATAGGTAAATAGATAGATAGGTAAATAGATAGATAGATAGATAGGTAAATAGATAGATAGATAGGTAAATAGATAGATAGATAGGTAAATAGATAGATAGATAGGTAAATAGATAGATAGATAGATAGATAGGTAAATAGATAGATAGAGAGATAGGTAAATAGATAGATAGGTAAATAGATAGATAGATAGATAGATAAATAGATAGATAGATAGATAGGTAAATAGATAGATAGATAGATAGGTAAATAGATAGATAGATAGGTAAATAGATAGATAGATAGGTAAATAGATAGATAAATAGATAGATAGGTAAATAGATAGATAGATAGATAGATAGGTAAATAGATAGATAGATAGATAGGTAAATAGATAGATAGATAGATAGGTAAATAGATAGATAGGTAAATAGATAGATAGATAGATAGATAGGTAAATAGATAGATAGATAGATAGGTAAATAGATAGATAGATAGATAGATAGATAGGTAAATAGATAGATAGATAGATAGATAGATAGTAAATAGATAGATAGATAGGTAAATAGATAGATAGATAGAATACAAGGTGGGTAGAAAGAGAGGTAGATTAATTGACTGACTGATAGATGGATAGATAGATAGATAAATGGGGGAGAGAGAGAATTTAAGAGAGAAAGAGAGAGATTAATAAATACATACAGATAGATAGACAGATAGACATAGAGTGACAGATAGACAGATAAATAGACAATCAGACGGATAGATAGATAGATAGATAGATAGATAGTTGGTAAGTAAGGAGTTTAAAATTTTAATTCAGGATTTTCGAAAAAAAAAAAAAAATTCATTTGATGTTAAAATTTCTATCTGTGATAATTAACTCACTTATTAATTAAGTGTAATTAGTGTAATTAGTGAATTATTAATCACTTGTTCATAATCAATTAAAGTTCTTAGTCATCTATAGAATATTTTCGTATTATTATATATATATATATATATATATATATATATATATATATATATATATATATATATATATATATATATAGATATATATATATATATCTATATTATAGAATATGATATAATGATATAGTATAATTATCTTCATTATCATCATTATCATTATAATCTTCTTATTAAATACTTATTACTCTTATTACATAATAATACTTATTACATAATAATAATAATTAATAATGATAATAATTGATAATAATAATAATTGATAATAATAATAATTGATAATGATAATAATTGATAATGATAATAATTGATAATGATAATAATTGATAATGATAATAATTGATAATGATAATAATTGATAATAATAATAATTGATAATAATAATAATTAATAATATTAATAATAATTATAATAATTACATACTAATACTTTCTACCTAATTAAAATCTTATTATTAAAATACTATATATATATATATATATATTACATATTATATCTATATTATAGAATATGATATAATGATATAGTATAATTATCTTCATTATCATCATTATCATTATAATCTTCTTATTAAATACTTATTACTCTTATTACATAATAATACTTATTACATACTAATACTAATTAATAATAATACTAATTGATGATTATAATAATTAATAATAATGATAATAATAATTTATAATAATACTAATTAATACATAATACATAATACATATATAATACATAATAATACTAATTAATAATAATAATAATTGATAATAATAATGATTAATACTATTAATAATAATTATAATAATTACATACTAATACTTTCTACCTAATTAAAATCTTATTATTAAAATACTATATTATTATAACATAATATATACATATATATTATATATATATATATATATATATATATATATATATATATATATATATATATATATATATATATATATATATGTATGTATGTATATGTATATATATAATTATCAATGTCTATAATACTATATTATTATAACATAATATATACATATATTTAATTATCAATGTCTATATTAAGTAATTAATTATATTAATTGTGTTGTAAGAATAAATACGTTAATGATGATGATGATAATGATGATAATGATAACAATTGATTGTGATAAAATTCATTATAGAGGTAATAATGATAATGATAATTATATCCTATAGTTCATAATA